GGTTTCCTCACTCCCACAACCATTATATGTTTCCTCACTCCCATAACCATTATATGTTTCCTCACTCCCATTACCACTTTAGGTTTCCTCACTCCCACAACCATTATATGTTTCCTCACTCCCATTACCATTATATGTTTCCTCACTCCCATTACCACTTTCGGTTTCCTCACTCCCACAACCAATATAGGGTTTCCTCACTCCCATTACCACTTTAGGTTTCCATTATATGACTCCTCACTCCCACAACAATGATAGGTGTCCTTTCTTCCGACTCGTTGTAGAAATCGGCTAGGAGCTGGTAAACATTTCACCTGTTCATTTTAAGGACATAAAGACTCACATCCTCTCGTCTGCATTTCATGGTCTTTGCACAGACGTCATATGCATAGCACCCTTAATTAATTTATGTATGTGCACATTGAGATGATTATGTTCTTGCTAAATGTATAATGGTGATTGTCAGCCTTTTTTGTTTAAGAGTTATAACTCATACTATTATCCATATGTTGTTTGCGTTTCAGAGTAATTTTACAAATTGTATAGGGCGCTATATAAATGACGTCATAGCTCATCGTTTTTCAGATGGTAAAGAGGAATGATGTATTCCGAAGAGAAACCAATAGTTTTCTAGATTTAATATCAGAACTTTGTAGGAGAAGAACGGTCCCAAACTCATGATGGCCTATTATCATGTTAATCTAACTCTCGTTGGTTAACTTTCAAGTTGTAAAGACACTCGGTAAACCTCATGTGTTTATACATTTTGAAAATTAAGTAACTCGAGTTAGATAAATATGCGAACCAACCATCACTCGTTGGGGGAATTCTATTTCTTTGTGAATCTTAAATTCATTATGTTTCTCTTATCACTTTCATTTCATGGAAACTTTGAATATGCAGGAACCAATTCCTAACATTGGAAGAGTGGATACTTCAAGCTGGAAATAGTTTTCCTTTTGTGAATCCTACCGTAACGAACGATGTGATAAAAAGTAAATTTGAATGAAGGTTATTTGTATATGAAACTAACTACATAATGTAATGATATGCGAGTGGGAATATAACTTTCAATATAGCCTATACAATGCAAAATACTATACATGGATATGTTAAAGTGGAAAGATACATTATGCTACATGTACGTAGTCCTTTTCGTGAAGGAACGTAACACACGTACACATGATATTGCGTTTACAAATTTGGTAATGCCAAAAAAGAATTATCCTCCATTGTAATATATTTACATTTGCATGGCATTGTCACTATAGAGCCTCTTTGAAAGCTGTGTCGTTGATGGGACTTTAATTACCATGCATCACGAGACACAATTCTTGGCGTATTAATACAACACTGACCGGAACTACAATATCCAATATAACATGACGGCTGCTGAAAGATCGCTGGGCATTGTGAGATTTGACAATGTCATTGTAAATTTATGTGCAAAATAAAAAATAAAATAAAAAACACTTTTGTTACAACGAAAACAAGACCAAGGTCTGCAATATCGGACAAAATGCACATCGTTTGAAATCACCAATGCCGGCAATGGAAACAATTTTAACGCTCATGCAATTTATCAGAAATATCGTCTGTTACACTGCACTGATCAACAGGGGTTCGTTACAAATGTCTGAAATACACATATTCTATAGACCTACTGACACATATGTTACAGACCTACTGATATGAGTCACAGCACACATAAACATTTCAGACATTTGTAACGAACCTGTGCTCCGTCGCAAGATCACTCACTTCAAACGCTATCAGTTTCACGCGTCTCGCATCCACGGTTCCTCAGTTTCTGACGACATGTCAAATAACGAGGCTGTTATAGAATCTACCGACTGTTGTCAGGTTCCCATACAATCAACAAATAAATTCACGCCTGGATTCTTCACAAAATGAGCAAAGAGAAAAGTTCGAATTAACTTCCAAAAATAACTCCCTCGTGGAGGGCAAGGTCGGATTTACGGTGTTCACTGTATTTGTCCATGCGCGAAATTTGTTCCGGGGAAAAATCGAAACAATTTCAAATCTAACTTTCAGCTCAGAGTTCTATTGATAAACTAAAATCACCCTATAGACATATCATACGCAATTGTATTGATACTGAATTGTGGAATAAAATTGAAGTGTTTGTTAAAATTTCAAAGTACTACTTTGTTTGCCAATCAGCACGCGACAATACGCTGTTCAAATTATTGAACGAAATTGTGTGGACTGTCGATAAGGCGGGCATTTTTAATTTTAAATATAAATTATAAGTTAAAAAAAGAACATAAGAGGCAGAGAAAACGTAAATATAAGTATTGAACTGTTTTTGTATGGTATTTATGATCTATTTGAATGACACAGCTTTGCAAGCAAACGAATCATAATGCTCTAGCGCGCATTATGTTGTTTGCTGTTGACAGTTCAATGCTTAATGAGAAAAAAATATGTTAGTTGTTGATGTTTAACAATTTTAGTAACGTGTTATTCTGGCTACAGCCGGGTTATAGTTGCATATGCTTGAACAGTGACTGTACCTTGGAAAGTAGGTCAAATGCATGGATGACCAGCTAGGCTTCAAGTCAACACAGGTACATCACGGATCATATCCTACACAGCTAAAACGTCTGCCGTCTTAAAAACAGTTCATTAAAAAAGGTAAACATGTTGAAAAAGAGCTGTCAGGGTATATTTAGTTGATACTGTTATTTTCTGTCAGCTGTCGGGGTATATTTAGTTGATACTGTTATTTTCTGTCAGCTGTCAGGGTATATTTAGTTGATACTGTTATTTTCTGTCAGTTGTCAGGGAATACTTAGTTGATACTGTTATTTTCTGTCAGCTGTCAGGGTATATTTAGTTGATACTGTTATTTTCTGTCAGCTGTCAGGGTTACTTAGTTGATACTGTTATTTTCTGTCAGCTATCAGGGTATATTTAGTTGTTACTGTTATTTTCTGTCAGCTGTCAGGGTATATTTAGTTGATACTGTTATTTTCTGTCAGCTGTCAGTGTAGATACTGTTATTTTCTGTCAGCTGTCGGGGAATACTTATTTGTTACTGTTATTTTCTGTCAGCTGTCGGGGAATACTTAGTTGATACTGTTATTTTCTGTCAGCTGTCGGGGTATACTTAGTTGATACTGTTATTTTCTGTCAGCTGTCAGGGTATATTTAGTTGTGATACTGTTATTTACTGTCTATTGTACCCGTTTCTTGGAGGTTAGAGGTGTGCCATTGCGCAATCAGGTACCGAACGTCACTATCAAACGTCACCTGTTAGTTGTTTCCCTATCCTGGCTGGAAGGTATTTTCTTCACGGTTGGTGGGCGTGAATACACACCAAGCTCATGAATCGCATGGTTGGACTTTGTATAGATGTCAGAATACCAAACAAATACGCACATCGTTGACAAACGTTAATAACAACCTATTGAATTCTCAGAGAAAATAAGGGCATGGCTTGTTATAGCCTTCTAGTGTATAACGATTTAAATATACACCTAGGTATGCATTATATGTTTTACATATCTATATTGCATTGTATTAATTATTAATAAATGTATGAATGAATGTACGTGTATGAATGACATATCGAGTTATTGAACATGGTGAGAGTGGCATGCATTTTTGAGGAAATTTTCTTGTTGGAGAATTGACCGAAACAACCCAACCATGTCCAACTAAGCAAGTTATTTTTCCGTGTTGTACTACATAAAGCACAGGTCTAGCGCAGACATTGTACCTGTAAACGTATGATATCGCATTGTATATTGAACAAATGTTGAGCATAGGGTCAGATCGAATCAGTACTGCGACACCAGTATATCAAAACACTTACCCTCTTCCTAAGGAAACGAAACACAAACTCCAGACCGAGACAGCCTCACAACAATTGGTATGATAGTGTTGTAGTGTGGCGAGTTATACATGTATACTTCCCCTACGATAGCTAGCTCTGTTCACACTCAGTCAGGAAGCTCAACCTCTAACATTACAACGGATATGTTGATTAGCAAGGGGCCGCCTCTGTTATGTTATGTAAATATAGTGTGGGCGAAGACAGCCTCTATAGAGATGTCAGTACTAAAAGTAAATTATACTTGAGCAATAAAATGTGCTTTCATCCAGTGACCTTATTAAACTTATATGAAATTCATCAATAAAAAATAAATAAAAAATATATAAAAAAAATCATCAATACACCTGTATATACAGGTTATCATCCAAATATAGATGTGCTTCCGTGTTTCTATTTTCCACCAAACATTGGTCATCAATTGAGAAGATGGTACAGTAAGGGTTTGCATAGAAATTTACGCATAATTTATTTTGTATTTGTCTGATACAAAACATTGTGAATAATACTGACTGAATAGCTATGCAAATAGCATTACAAAGCATTTGACGTCATCAATTCAATCCATGAACGTAACAGTCGTATTTAATTGTTTTTTACAGAATATAAGACTATATTTTGTTTATTCATAAATGCTTATATTACGGTACAACGAATTACCACAACAGAGCGAACCGAACAAATATTATTTGTGGTGTATTTTATATTTTTTAGGTATCTAACTGGTGTCAATAATTCAGTGTCATATTGGTCACACCAGATATATAATCTGAACAGTGAAATCGCTTCTAATTTCTTTGCCATATGTGATATTAAGCATAACGTGTTCATTTAAGTGGGACATCTACATTTTATCGTACAAAGCCTTGTTTTAAACTTTAGAATATGCATGTTGTCAGTACACAAATGCACTGCTAGTGTATGACTGCTGTTCGTTATATAAAACAGACCACTGACAGTAAGCCCAAGGGTTATCGATACTTATAGAAGGGATTTGTATGTCTGAATGGTGGTTGAAAACTGATAACTGTATATAGACTAACCCAATATCAGTAGCCCAGTGATCACATGGGTGTTAACTCTCCAGAAAACCACGATATTTAGATCACGTCTTCTGGTAACTAATTCAAAAACGGGGTAAGCTGGTAACCTTCTATTATGTCACGCTTACCAAAGCGTTTCGTAATAAGGTGAGCGGTATGTAAATAGCGTGTCATACAACATACCGTGTAGAGTCTGGGATATCCTTTCTTTCGGATTCTGGTTTCTGTGCATAGCTTCAAAAAGTAAATGACCTTTAAGTTACAGCTATTTAGTGGAGGCTTGTGTGTACATCTTGGTTATTTCTGTTTGCTTTGGGACAAACCGCATCACTGACTTCCTGGTACGACTGTCACTCTCTCTCTTCTTGGTGTAAATGTTTAGTAAGGGCCGGTTTCCATTTGGTGGTGCATTGCCCATGCCGTTGTGGTCACAAATCTATAAAGTATAAAGATTTAGGTCACTTGGTTTGTTTTTTATGGCTCCTCAAAGTTGTACCTTTCAGAAGCTGTCTAAGTGTTGATAAAATGGGCATGTTATGTAAAATATTAATGAAAATCTAATCAAATGATGGTCATCGTAAAGAATACATTCATGGCATGATTGTGACAAAAAATCATGTTTCCATCGCGCCATTTGGCTGTTTTATGGAAGAAACAATCTCAAAGTATTTGCTAACGGGGATCTTTCATATCGAGCCCCAAACATACTTTCGACATAATACACCCTTTTATGGGCGTTGGATGCAAACCAATTTTTATCCTATTAAACAGTACGTAATATGCTATTGATGAGAGGAAAAATCATCAAAATGTAAGTGGTGGAACATTTTCAAATGTTGGGTTGAATTAGCCTATGGTTGAATTGCCGATTTTCGACTTTCTTTAGATAATTAACAAAAAAACGAGAGTATTTGCTCGGTATGTTGAGAATATGTACACAGATATGAAAAAAAGTGAGAGAAACACTTTTTCATAAAAAAAATCCAAGATGGCTACTTCACAAGTCCCCGTGGTTGAAGACATTGGCTGACAAATAGACAGAACAACAAACAAAACGTGTTCCTTATGATTTTGGTTGGTTTTCGCATTTACGGGAGTGTTCATAGCTACGGGCGATTGTATAATACCTATATTTATAAGTTTGGTTAGTCACATGGTAACGGGGATCTTTCATATCGAGCCCCAAACATACTTTCGACATATGCACTCCGTTGCCGCATGGAAAACTATTTCAAGTTTTGTCGGAATTTCTTTACCTGTGGTTGTAATGGTCGAGGGTTTTCCAGCGTCCTGTAATACCCAAGGTAGTACAAGATACTGGAGATGTGCGCACACATTCCCATCGTTCTCTCTCCAACTGGGCACTGGCAGTAGTAGTCCTTTATTGGGGCCTCAACATCGGGTGAAACGGTGAACCGTATCCAAACGTTATATTTCGTTTGGCTTTTGTGTCGAGAATGTATTTGACATCGGAGAAGGTCTGGGGAGTGCTGGTAAAGCCACACCTCATAGTCTCCGTCATCACTTAAATGTTCGGCGATGTAACCAGGAGCCAGAGATATCTGATACGTTCCACACGTAATGGTTCTCAAGTAATCAAGATCGAGACGGGGAAACAGTACGGAAGATGCATCCATCTTGACAAACTCGGACCTTGCCCGTCTAGATAGATCCGGATCTGTCTTGACTCTCTGAGCTAAACCATTCGGTGTTGTCAAACGGTCCTTCATACGTTCAGCCATTAGCCTATCTTTGGCATCTCTCTCTGGAGATCTCTGGTAGATCGGTCCTCTAATACCATTCAGACAGGCTGTGACGGTTCGAAGCAAAGCCTCGATGACATTGATAAAGCTGTTAGACACCAATTGCGTTCGGAAGAACGTCCAGTGTTTCAGACGACCATGATAGGATTCCACAATCCACCTCGATTTGGTGATAGTTCTGTCAAGATTTGCTTGGACGTCAGAATGTTGACTTTGACCGGGTTTCAGGTATGACGGCATGCTAGCATTGAGGCCAGAGGCTTCGAGAACTGGTAGGACATCTCTAAAACCTCGGTCAACGACAACGTTGTCGTCTGGTTGTAGCCAAGTAACTAGCTTGTCCATGACTTTTTTTGTAATTGTAGCATCATTTTCGCTGCCAGTGAATGGTCCTACTGTGTCCAGAATGTAGCCATCTGGTAAGGCGATGCTCATGAATTTGAGATAGTTTCTCTTCTTCTGGCCACAGTAGGACATTCTCTGGAGCTTGTGGTCGGAGCTTTTCTGGATATAAATATAGGTGCCATCTAATATGGCAGTGGCTTTATCTCCAAAAAATGCTTCTGAAAAGACAGTATTGTGCCCGAGCAACTGTTCTCTTGTCAAGTGATCCGGACCTAGAAATTGTGGGACTATCGATGTGTCTAATGCCTGTACTATGGAGTGGAAAGTTTTGGACACACTTGACTTGGAAATTCCAAAAAGAGAAGAACACTGACTCCAGGAAATGTCGGTTTTCAGTTTTACCCAGAACAGTAATAGAGCATCGTGTGTAGTCTTGGTATATATACCAGATGAAAGATATGGGGAACAGTGCGAGTGGATTTCGAGGAACTGATCTTTGGACCAACCTGTCCAGGCCATGCATGCCGAGTCATCAAGAGAAGAAAAGCTTATTGTAAACGCAGACTGGTTCTGTGAAAGGACGTGCGACACCTCTAGGAGGTCATTAATGATTTCGGACGATTTTGATGGTAACTGAGATTCCAAGGAACCTCTACCATCAAGGACAACCTCTGTAGACGGATCTAAGTCGTTACCAATAAGGTGAATGGAGCAGACGCGGGATGAGGTGGGACACCACAGTTTGTGTGAATAGATCAGGTGATGTCTTGCACGTTTTGGTAAGACTGATGATTTTGTTCCATTTCTTGCAAAGGTAACAAGACAGAGACAGCATTTTTTGTGTGAAGATGATCCATTCAAAAGATCATGAAGGGTCAGCAACGGCAGGATATGGGACGGGGAGTCGTCTTCTTCCTCTATTTCCTGGTTCTGCTCGGGTTCAGGTTCAGGCTGATTTTTGTTCCGAAGATACTTCATGTAGCACTTCTGGCAAATAAGTGCTTGTTCCTTTGCTGACATCAATCCTTGTTGCACCAGCGTATCTAGGAGCCATTTATATTGTGGACTATTTACATTGCGTGCACTTCTGTTCTTATTGCCACTACGTTTCTTGAAGTATACTTGACACCCTTCTCCAACACATTTACCCTCCATCTTGAAACAATAACGATTGGTTTATGAAGCGTCGATAAAGTAACAAAATAGCAAGCCACCGATGATTGCTGTAAACAGCTAATACTTAGTAGTTTGGTACAATTATGCGAAAATGTGTGATAAATAACGAACAACTAATTACACAAAATAACAAGACAATATAATAAATCACATTCAATACCTCCAAGAAGCGCAGAATTGATTGATTACTTAGAACAAAATAAAGTATTTCATATGGATAATCTATCTATTCGATGTGGCGTGGTCGGCAGGCACAAAGAAAGTGAGACAAGTCAGGGTCCCAACCCTGACAGAGCCACAACGCTTTGGAGATGGGACAATAAAACAAGGAAAGTGAGACAAGAATAGCTAGCGTCGAGTCAATGATTCCGTAAACGTATAGACAAAGACAAGAAGATACGGATAAATGTACAAGGCCACACGATCAGAAAATTCAGAAGAGGACAACTTGAGATAGAACAGTATTCATGTATCAGGGTGTCCTCAGTGTAAATCTTTATATCGATACTGTTTATTTAGTCGTTACACATCATAAAACTGTCATGAAAATATCCGCTCTGATATTCAATATAAAAGTTTGTATATAATAAGCTATATAATAGGGTTTCAGACAAGGTTGTTACTCATTTCCCCTTTTCTTTCAATTTACAACCACATTCAGGCGGCGATATGAGAACGTTCCACCACATGGAATTAGCTGATTTTTGGTACACATATGAAACAAGTAAAGCTCTATCCGATTTTCTGATGGAAATTTGCATCCAAAACTATATAACGGGAGAAAATTGCAATTTTATGGCATTTTTCTTCATAATTGTGTCTCTGCAAGTGCATTTTCATCCGAGAATATTTTTTTTTATGTTTTATGAATAAACACGATGTTTTGGAAATATTTATCAAAAGAAATTTATACTATGTTGCGAATTACAATTTCGAGATAACCTTCTTTTATTTACGAACTTATGTCTTTGATGCTGAAATTGACAACTTTATAAAAATACATTTTCACTGAAATTATGAAATCTGGGTGTCGGAAAGGTGTAAAATTATTCTTCGGAAAAGAAAAAATCAGTAGTTGAGCTAGATAAGAAACTATGCGGGGGCAGGCTCCTATGGAGAATTAAAATTACTGGAAACAGGCCCAAAGTAAACCTTTAAAAGTTATATTTTACGACTGTCATCATGATCGATATACCGGAAGTTCATATACTGTTCGGAACTCTATAATTGAGCAATGTAACAGCGGAAATGTTCCGAGTAATTTGGCGCGACTATTGCACGTGCTACATGTAATTGCCGTGTTTTGTTTATTTTAACCGTGCACCTGTGTACGATGGCCGACAAGAGCCTGACAAAAAGATAGGAATTTTCATATCTTTTTGTACCACGGTACACTTTTATATGGTACACAAAGATATGAAAATTCAAATCTGTGTGTACCATGTAAAAGTGTAACATGGTACATAAAGATATGAAAATTCAAATCTTTGTGTACCATGTTAAAGTGTACCATGGTACATAAAGATTATAACTTTACAAAAAAACTCTTTACTTTCACATGTATATGTTCCAACAGCCGATATCAGCCGGCAAAATTATTTGAATTTTCATATCTTTCTGTACCGTGGTACACTTTTGCCCGGTACAAAAAGATATAAAAGCTTCTCTCCTTTTAGTACCGCGTTACACTTTTTTCATTTCTTTTTGTACCACCTACGGTACAAATAGATATGAAAAAAGTGTACCACCATAGCATCGGAATGTTGTTATCGGACACTATGACCAGAACTGACCCCGCATAGTGAAGCCCTAATTACAATGTCGAAACAAGTCGTGAAGTTCATTAATCACTTCTGATGAAAAACAGAGTTAGTTGCAATTGTGTAAGTATTGGGGCCTTGACAGGGTCTCCAAAAGGGATAAAGGACATCTGAATATATCTGTCATTTCCCTTGTTTTGATAGATGTCCAGATTATAAAAGAATCGTACAACTAGATCATCGTATTTCCCCCAAAAATATATAAAACGGTAGACTTTCCTTCGAAGTAATTAAATGTATTGTCCCCTTTCAACTGATTTGGAGTTTCTTTTATTTGAGAAGTTGAAGCAGATAGAATACATTAGAAATGTAAGTATTAGAATAATAATCCATAATGACTTCCTTTTTAACGTAAAACATTCATAAATTCGGTAAAGGATATTGAACAGTTGATTTAAATTTAAATGAGTAAGTAATAGTTTGGTAGCTCATTTGGTGTAATAAAAATAACAGACATTCCGTGCGATAACACGATAACCCTGTGATTACAGCCTTATCAGGGTGTAATTTGTCATACTTGGTAACCTTTTCGTCAGACGGTTTCACATGTTTCTGTACCATGGCTGTTTTCGGCCGTTATTTTGGTACAGAAAGATACAAAAGCAACGGGTTGATGTTATTACTGCTTTCATATCTTTGTGTACCATGGTACACTTTTACATGGTACACAAAGATTTGAATTTTAATATCTTTGTGTACCATATAAAAGTGTACCATGGTACAAAAAGATATGAAAATTCACATCTTTTTGCCAGGCTCTTGTCGGCCATCGTACCTGTGTGCCTCGGCAGTCAGAATAAAAGTCTAGACAAGACTGGTTTGGCTTACCTCTTTTCTACTGTAGGAGTAGCTGTAGGTATAGGGTCTCGCAACCGCAATAGGTTAATTTTATGTTAGCGTAGATATTTTATAGTCACAGTACTAGCAGTAGTTTCTCTATAGTCATGGAGTATTTTTGTAGGAGTTTTAGAGTCGTGATTTGAACCATGTCGTCGTCTATGCAATAGGCATATGGCCGCGTAGCCGTCAGTATATCATTTCGTCGTCTGTTTAATAAGCATATGGCCAAGTGGTTTAGGCGTCTGACATTCTGCAACCGCTAGCCCTCCACATCTAGGTCACGGGTTCGAGGCCTACGTGGGGCAGTCGCCAAGTATTTGCTGTTGGTCGGTGGTTTTTCCCCGGGAAATCCGGTTTTCCTCCACTACAAAAACCTGGCACGTCCTTAAATGACCAAAGCTGTTAATAGGACGTAAAACACAAACCAACAAAAATCGCCCTCGTTACATATTCTTCCAAAATGTTAGCACATGCGTTGATTTTTTTTCCTGAAATATGCACGGTATATATGTATTAATAGGTATTGTGTAAAAAAAAGTATTTGATACGACTTCGGCCTATGTTATAGTTTAAATGTATTGTAGGCATTGATGTATTTATTTCGCCTCTTTCTGATAAGCATCTAACGATCCTTGGTTGGTATTGGGTATATTGGTCGAGTGGTTAAAACTTCGGCCTTCTACGCAGTCGTCGTACTAATGGATATTCAAAGAAGTTTTTTTTTGCCCACGCAACTCCAACAACCCAGGTGGAGTAGGGTGGATGTTGCGGTATCTGTGTTGTAGCATTCAAGTGAGGTGACACTATAAATGATGCCGTTGGAAGCACGGTCCCAATACAAACAGAACACATTACATCTCCTACACACACGCAGGCATATACACACAGGGAGATATTAGCAAGGTGGCATCTATTAGTTAGCGCATAATAAGGCAGCACCTGCGAATTCCTCAAAATTGTATTGATTAATGTATATGCTAATTGTATATCTAGGTACTGTAAAACGTTTTAGAGTGGCTTATGTCAGCTAAATAGGGTGTTATATCAAATGCTGAATATTCTTTTTTATTATATTATACAGATCGAGCAGGGTATACTTTGTCGTTAACGCAGACGTTAACACTGTCATAAAAAGACTTTGTTATCCAGGTAAGGTGGTAAATCACGTTATTTGAAATCTGTCTTCAAGCATGGCGATTAAAAGCTTTTAACCAGGTTTAGTTGAACGATTAAATGGTAGCGCAATACAGTGTTGTTTGTTTAGGTCAATGGTACAAATGTACAATCAATTTGGGGTCCAATATAGGTAAGATATATCGGAGTCCATACAAATGCACGTCATCTAATTTCATGACGATAAATGGATTAGTTAAAGGGGCTGGTCGGGGGAAAAATGTCATATTTGCCAAAATGGCATACACATGTTTAAAATACCTTCTTATGAAATATACCAATTCAAATTTTGCTGAACTTCACTTTCTAAGAATAAAAATTATAATTATATTAAAGAAATCCTAAACCGTCACCTGACAGTCTAAAACTCTCAATTGACCCAGATCAGTGATGTAATTTTACCGCACGCGCATCATCAACAAGGCCAATTGTAAACATCGCGGTGAAAGAAAAAGATGCATGCAAAAGTCATGACAGGCACGAGGTATCAATACCGTTATATATAACTACAACATATAGGTAGGAATACAACCCTTGCATCATACATGACCTTTTAAAACAATTATTTACGTATAGTATTGCTGTCTTGTCCGCTAGTTGAGTCCGACATAGCACATGACGGCGTGCTATTGTTGTTATCTTCACTGCCTCCCTTTCGAAACAACCACTTGACATATTATAAATAGATCTGCGCTAAATTTACGCGGGGCTTCCCCAAGAGTTCAGTGGTCAAAGCTGGACATTGCAAGCAGAACTCGACCATCATATTGCCGTGGTATAACTTTTGGAAGGCCAGAGAACGCATTTAGACCCATTTATTTTGTATTTTTTTCCCCGACCAGCCCTTCAATATATTTTATCGAGAAAGTGTCTATTTGAGTAAAAGAGGGATTACCAACATTTCCAACAAAGCGTACACTTAATCCAGGAAGATAATAAACCATACTTGTATGGTGATTGGATCAATATTATTTGACAGTAAGGTAAAGCATAGTTTGTTTAACGTTACTATAATGGAACGTTTATCGGATGCGTAACACAACAAAGTCGGCTAGGCAGTTTTGAAGAATATAATACTTCGTCTCTGTACCGTTTGGTACACTTTTATATTACATAGTTAATGCATTTTTCAGGTCGTGTTAAACTGTCTAAGTTATAAGCTCTCAATGGCCATAAAACATAAATGCTACAGTGTACCGTTAATAGGTAAACATACTAGTGATACTTCAAATATGTTTAGTCGTCTATCCAGTACAAACACAAACCTTAAATATTGTCATACAAAATTTAACCACAGTAAGGATAAGAAGCGAACATGCTTCGTATGTGACCATGCACAACATTATCGTTAAACAGGAGGCAGTTTAACTACTTCAAATGTGTCTGGCCGCCTTCGGACATTGTGTGATTGTGTGTCCAGTCTTAACGTTTTTCTGTTGGCCCATTCTCTAACATAGACAGCATCGGTTATCATTATGAAGTTAAAAGTCACTTATTATTGACAGAGTGATCTACATAGTAGTATGTTTTAAATCAACCCCCGAGCTTGGAATTATTAACAATGTTTAGAAACTAAGATGTAGTTTTGGTACGCGTTCGTACCAAGGTATCTAAATCACTTCATAGATGGATAAATATTCATTCGTGTTTTTATCATAATTTTGACAGAATTGTGAACACAAAGTTTATATAAAACATATCAAAAATGGAGAAAAATCAAGGAGACAAAGAGAAATAATAAGCAAATTAGATCATGCTTGGTTCACAAATATATATTTAAAACTTCCTGGAACATACCATTTACGTACAATGACAAATAGAACGCACAAAAAATGTACCTGTATTGCATACACTTGTACATTCACAGATTCATAAGAGACATTGGCAAGATAATCTGGATGTCTGATGATAGTTATGATGATAACAAAATATATTGCTTATCAATTGCACGTGTAAGGACAGGTTTATAAGCCTGAGATCGATTTTGACATATTGGTAACAATTCTTAATATTATCATATTATCATGAACATTGGAGAATTCATTACAATGTAAACAAAATAAATATTATATTTACAAAACATCTGGGACCGGTAAACAGCACAGTAAAACCTCGTTAAACTGTCGCCATTTGTCCAACACAGATTTTGAATTATAAAGGGCTTGACGCTACTTTGAGGGAGAATAAATAATTGCTAAGAAAGAAATATGTTAAAATATTGAAATATATTTTCGGTAAGGAACTTGTCAAATAAGACAGAATGCGTTATATCAAGGTTTTAGTGTGTAGACTTTGATAAAAAGGTGAATATAAATATAAATAGATGTCATCAAGTTATGGTTTAACCCGTAGTTCAGCATGCATGGATAATGAAGATACCCCCCCTTGTAGCTCAGGTACATGTCCGTGGACAAAATTACACACGACTTGTGCAGCACACTTCAGCTGTTTGTTGAGTCATGACTCGTGCAATAAAAGAAACTCAGTTGAAAGCATTTAAATGCTGATGGCATTTGGTATCTCTTCCGGATCTAACCACGGGTACGGAGGATCCCTAGTCTTGTTCTTTTCCCTGATTTGACGAGATATAACCTTCAGCTCATTTTTAAATCTGAAAGTAGAATGGTTTTGTAGTTTAATATCATATCAACTTCTAATACTATGATCGGAAGCCGCCCCGTTCTCCTGGCAGAGAAACAGTGTTCTCAAGCGTTGAAGGAGGTATTTTAATTTCTACTATAATCTTTCTCAATTTTTTCTATCAAATCGAAGCAAAAAACAGGTCACTGTCAACTTTTCAAATATGTATTTTATAGTTCCATCCACTGTAAATATTTAACATATAACGCATTCAGTCCGATAGAAAAAAAACACAATCTCGCAGGATAATCGTTTAGTTCCCTACCCTCCTAAAGACATACGATATAACTTACTCATCAATGATGGCTACAGCCGGGGGGTCGTACACGTATTGCACCTCGAAGTTCCCCAGACAGTTAGTTGTCCTCTCGCTCAGGATATAGGTGACAACCATCATGTCGAGTGTGGTCGCTTTGTCAGGGAGCGCTACCAACACCGCTGTCTCTGTCAGGGCCTTCTGTAAGTCAACCGATAAAAGTCTCAACAGTGTACCAAATGTGTATCAGCATTTATCTAAAATAATCTTAAAAACTTGCGTCAAGATGGATGGACAAAACATCAACTCATAAAGTAACGAGTTTAGATAATGCTCAAAAAAGCTTAATAATGAGTTAACTAAAAATAAATAATTAATCGTTCCTAGTCTAATTCTAGTCTAATTCTAGTCTAATTCTAGTCTATTTCTAGTCTAATTCTAGTCTATTTCGGATGCATGTATGCACAAACATAATTGAAGATAAACGTTTTCGTTTAAAAGGAAGAAATTCCTCTTTGAACTTGATTCAAGAAATAACTTCTCTTCAAATAGTCATTGTCTAGAAATATGCTGTGATGGAGTTATCGGTGAGCTATAAACCAGTTGTAAAAGTCTATTCTCTTGAGTTTTCCAACACGTTTCTAATAATTAAATTAAATGTTGAGAACATGATGAATGCTTTTGGTTTTGTATTGCATATAAAATTGAGATATTATCGTTATCTCTGCTGACCACATTGTCCGATTTAATTGATTCATCATTAAGTTATTTTTATATGTTTTACGTAGTGACATGAGGGTTAATATTAACTTTAAAGTAGCGTCATATACGAATGAATGTCACTGAAGAAAGTGCATCATAAAAAGATATAAGTCACAACCCATTCACATTCTAGCAAAGTGTCCATACTACTTGTTTTTATTGTACAAATGCGATCTTTGCATATCTGTCACGCACACACGTATATATATATATTGTATGTATGGGACATCATATGTTTGCCAGAAACCTACCTTGTCTGTGGGTGGTTCTCCCCTCATAGAAGCCGGGTAGGCTGGAGGAAACCCGTACTGGTCATACTGTGGGAAATTGGATGCAGCATGAGCAACGCTGCACGTGTAAATATGGCTGGTAAGAATTGTAGCTAGCTGGTCAATCGTGGTGATTGTTCCATTCCCCGGAACTCCCTATTAAGGTAACGCCCGGTAATTAACATCCATTGATCCAGATAACGTATTAGAACATTTTGCAGGAAGGAAGTTTTGTCATCAAGTTACAATATAAGGGACACATTGACATATCCAAATTGGCAGTTATCATTACGAAACATTAGCTACTCTGAATTATCATGTTGATAATATCAATATGAAAATTGTAAAATGTATTATTTTGGTTTATTATATATATATATTCGTTTGGACCTGATTACATAATTGATGACATATATCAAAGAATACTTTGGTTTGTTTGTTTGTGTTTTACGTCTTATTAACAGCTATTGTCATTTAAGGACGTGCCAGGTTTTCCCGGAGAAAAACAACCGATCTACGGCCAGTATCTGGCTACTGCCCCACGTAGGCCTCGAACCCGTGACCCATTGGTGGATGGATAGTGGTAGCAGAATGTCAGACGCCTTAACCACTTGGCCACCGCGGCCCCTCAAAGAATACAAAACTATATGTAGCTAACGTAATTCTCAATTATAACACCATGTTCACGGTATAACTTGGCTTACACGCATGCCCAGGCCTCCTTTTTCTTTGGACAAAACCGTTTCCGCTGCCCAGTCCTGAATCTCGGTGTCGCCTACAAGCTTGGCCGTAGTATCTTTAAGCATACCAAGAACAGGATAAACATTATATTTAAATGGTCATTTTAATTTGTCCCAATAGACGTAATCGGTGCAGGTAATATGCTACCTTTATTACAGTAGATACTTAATCAACATAAGAACGTATTAATTATGTTTTAATAGTTTTTGATTTGATTTGATCACATGTTTTCAAACTTATTTTGTAACAGTACGCAACACATCGATAGATTTTTCTGTTATCACATTTGAACGATGTCCTACATAAAGTTTTATGTTAAGTCAATCAAGAAGAGGATACAGAAGTGTCCACAAACCATAACTCGAACTCAAAACCGATAAAACGAGGGGGAGATGGAAACATACGAAAGATTTACATGGAGACCATTGACAAAGTACAGGGAGAATAAGACCAGGTGTTCTGGAAGTGTAAGTATCTTCTGCTTCATCGACGACAGTCGCCATGTAAATCTAGGTCAAATCCAAGTAAAACTCGGATAGGGATATCAAAACATCAATGCACTCTAATAAACATATGCAGAAACATCGACATTTATATCATACGAAGAAAAAACATTCCCCTATGAGATCATGACGCGACCATAAAACGTGTCCAAAGTCTTATTAAATCTGCATATTTGGAAATGCTGTGTTTTAAATTTGTCCGTCAGCAGTCGACACCTGTCACATAAGTAATGATATTCAGAACAAGCTCTTGCGTATCGAATCATCTGCAACATGTGGGGGAAACGGGGATGTTGCTATCAAGAAAGTGGATGTTCACGATTGGAAATTTGAAGTCGTCCTCTTATCATACAGCTTAGTTTTAAGCCGTCCATGTTGGTCATGTTGTAGTCTAAAGTAAAGATCGAAGCAAACTGCTAAAGAAAAAGAGTCGTTAGTGTCGTTTATTTCAAGCTCCGGAGGGTACATACGACCGGTGTCAATACATTTCTTGTTATTCGAAGACAGCACATCGTCTATCTATCTGAATGCAAAGTCTAAGGACTTTGCTAGGCTTTCATAAAGAAATTCAGATTAACATGAAACAAACAAAACACAAATAGGCCAGAAAAGGATAACAGTTTGTTTCTATGTTGATAATAGCTTTTCTCCTCACCATAATATAATTTCACGTATTTTACAACAAAGTTGAATATTGCGTTGTACACAGGCAGTGCGTCATCCCGAAAGTAGTATCCTGGTAACACATTGTCTCCCAATAACTGAAATATATAAATGGATACATAAACATATAAATTAATAACACTGTTATAAATAAGATACTGTTAACATACCCTATATCAAACTATCTGCCCTGTTTAATGTGTTTCTCATGCAACTGTTACTGGCAACATGACTGGTGAAATATAGACACTTGACATCCACAATACAATATTCAAATTGAAATAATCAACCCATAATTTCACGTACCCCTCTTCTTTCCAGGTCCTTTGGCAGCGAACCGTCTACATCCAACCTCCACTGAAGATTTCTGTCAGAATAAAGGTTAAAGGATTAGCATCAGGTACACACTCATTAGTTCCCATATTAAGATGTTGATGTATAATGAGTTTTAATTTGTAGTTACTACACATGCTTTAAGCGCTAACAATAAGGAATTATAGTATTTAATTAATTGATATGACAATTATAAAAAGGTTTTACTATTTTAACATTGGAGTACAGCGCTTGTCAATAGTTCATTCTTTTCATTTCTAATCTTGGCTATATTTTGTCAGTTGATAAACTTCTCTGACTGACAGTATTAAACATATTACGTCACGTTTATGTTTTGATGAATAAATCTGTGTTTACTTTCGCCGAATGATTTCAAACATGCCCTTAATTCCGGAGGACATGGCCCTGTCCGCCCAGCCACCAGGACACACAAGATTGGCCAGAGCACGTCTACAAGACACAAACTTACAATAATTAACATGTCTTTTAAAATCAAAAACAGTAATCTTGTCCATTATAAAGTCAACAGTACTGTTTATATCAATTATCACTGTACCATTCTATGATATAGCACATTTTCTAAAATTCATCTTTAAACAAGTAGCTTGTATGCATTCTAAACATAAAACAAGAGTCCCAGAGGGCCTGTATTCACCTGAATGTGATTAAAATAATTGGTATGAAGTAAAGATATAGCACTCAATGGTAGGTGCTGTAAGTACCTATGAATTTTCAGAAAGATCCATCCAGTACTTGAGATATAGTGAGAACAAACTTCAAACAGAGCCCCACCCATATGCTCCTAGGGCGCATACCCACTGTTTATACAAAATTAAGTCCCCTTGGCCCAAGGATGCTCCAGACTAAATAAGGATAAAATCCCTTAATCCCGATGGTCGAAGAAGGATTTTAAAGGTTATACCTCTATTTCTCCTATTAGGCCCCACCCTTCTGCCCCCTGGGAAACCACACCTACTGCTTATACAAAATTGAGTCCCCTTGGCCCAAGGATGCTCCAGACCAAATTAGGTTAAAATCCCTTTATCCTGATGGGCGAAAAAGGATTTTAAAGGTTTAACGGTTACCTCTATTTCCCGTATTGGGCCCGCCCCTCAGGGGGGGGGGGGGGGGGGGGGGCACACCCACCTTTTATACAAAATTTGTTCCCCTTTACCCAAGGATACTCTACACAAAATATGGCCAACTCCTTTCATTCCGACAGAATAAGAAGGACTTTAAAGAATTTATACAAAATGTGTTCCCCCTTCCCCCAAAGATTCTTCTGACCAAATTTGGTCAAAATCTACTGGGCCGTTCAGGACAAGTAGCGTTTTAAAGGAAAAGTTGGCGGACGGACGGACGGACGACGGACGACGGACGACGGACGCTACGCCATGGCATAAGTTCACTTGCCCTTCGGGCAGGTGAGCTAAAAATCTTAACAAATGTCCAGATAACATTTAACAGTGTATAAATGTGACATCGAAGGCCCAGATCAATTAATGACCTTTAAAGTATACGTCATTTTATATTACTGTTTATACGTCAAGTTTACTTATAACAACGCTAAATGTAAGATATATATAGTTAACTGTTTAATCTAGGTCACACGGATATTGGTTTAACCAGACAATGTATTACCGGGCATTTCACTATGGGTTGTGGTTTTGGAACAGTATGCCTCTCCAGAGCTGGTAAAATATTAGACAAGTTCCGAAAAACTTAGGAGTTTAAATTAATATGCGATAGTATGTTATTTGAAGCATTCCATTTATTACACACTGGACTGGTAGTTGAGTTCAATATCAAATGATCTGTTGCTATTGTCTCTTCAGAAAAAACAATCGATTAAAGTCGGATTCAGGATGTTTAACATTACCTTTCGTCGATGTAAAAGACAAACTATACAACACATACACTAAATATACAGCTTAGGCTAAATACAACACCATATACACCTACGTATTTAAAGCCAGCAGGTAGAGGAAGTGAGGGGCCAGTAACTTGAAAACCGGATGAGACGGAGACAGATTCCTGTGAGTTAAAACTGCAACGCCTTCCATTTTCAGATGAGTTCCCCCTACCCAAAATACATAAAGTCATTTAATTTAAAGAGAAAAAACATTGATAACAAAAACATGGACAAATATAAAATTTTCTCATATGCTGTTGAGATCCTTATTAAAAAAAATCCGTACCATCAACACAATGGATAAAATCGAGACTCAAAGTCGTTGCTGAGAAATGAGCCACAAGTGGAAAGTTAAGTAAAACATTCTGTCATCCTTTATCGAAGTATCACATCGATCCCTCTGAACAGACTAAAGCAAGTCGATTAGTTTAAACTAAAGCCAGTCCAGTATTTATCAATCAGACATGTCGGGATCCCTGTACCTTACCTAAATGGGTGAAGGACTGGTGATAGCTGCTGTCTGCATGATTGAACCACAGTTTGGCTGTGAGCCAAGTGTATTCGGGATCCGTGGGAAGGAACACCTACCACAAAAATGTCATCACGGTAACATATAACTACCGTACATACTCTACTATAAATAAATACAAAAACCAAAGTTATCATTGTTTTAAGATTTGGCTTGTTTTCCGATGTATACATGTTATTGAGTAGGGCGTGTTTGGCTTTGAACACAAATTATTGACAAAGTATTGAGTAGGGCTCGTTTCACTTTATACACAAGTTATTGACAGGAGCTTGATTTCTTGTGTACACAAGTTATTGACAGGAGCTTGATTTCTGGTGTACACATGTTATTGACAGTTGGCTTGTTTTCACGTATACACATGTTATTTACAGTTGGCTTGTTTTCACGTATACACATGTTATTGACAGTGGGCTTGATTTCCGGTGTAAACATGTTATTGACAGGGGCTTGGATTCCGGTGTAAACATGTTATTAACAGGGGGTTGTTTTCACGTATACACATATTATTGACAGGGGCTTGATTTCCGGTTTACACATGTTACTGACAGGGGCTTGATTTCCGGTGTACACATGTTATTGACAGGGGCTTGGATTCCGGTGTACACATGTTATTGACAGGGGCTTGGATTCCGGTGTATACATGTTATTGACAGGGGTTTGTTTTCACGTATACACATATTATTGACAGGGGCTTGATTTACGGCGTGCACATGTTACTGACAGGGGGTTGTTTTCACGTATACACATATTATTGCCAGGGGCTTGATTTCCGGTTTACACATGTTTCTGACAGGGGCTTGATTTCCGGTGTATACATGTTATTGACAGGGGTTTGTTTTCACGTATACACATGTTATTGACAGTGGGCTTGAATTCCGGTGTACACATGTTATTGACAGGGGCTTGTTTTCCGGTGTACACATGTTATTGACAGGTTCTTGGATTCCGGTGTACACATATTATTGACAGGGGCTTGATTTCCGGTGTACACATGTTATTGACAGGGGGTTGTTTTCCGGTGTACAAATATTATTGACAGGGGTTTGATTTCCGGTGTACACATGTTACTAACAGGGGTTTGTTTTAATGTATACATATATTATTGACAGGGGCTTGATTTCCGGTGTACACATGTTATTGACAGTGGCTTGATTTCGGGTGTACACATGTTAATGACAGGGGGTTGTTTTCCGGTGTACGCATGCTATTGGCAGGGGCTTGATTTCCGGTGTACATATGTTATTGACAGGGGCTTGTTTTCCGGTGTACACATATTATTGACTGGGGCTTGATTTCGGGTGTACACATGTTAATGACAGGGGGTTGTTTTCCGGTGTACGCATGTTATTGGCAGGGGCTTGATTTCCGGTGTACATATGCTATTGACAGGGGCTTGTTTTCCGGTGTACACATGTTATTGACAGGTGCTTGGATTCCGGTGTATACATGTTATTGACAGGGGCTTGATTTCGGGTGTACACATGTTAATGACAGGGGGTTGTTTTCCGGTGTACGCATGTTATTGGCAGGGGCTTGATTTCCGGTGTACATATGCTATTGACAGGGGCTTGTTTTCCGGTGTACACATGTTATTGACAGGTATTTGGATTCCGGTGTATACATGTTATTGACAGGGGCTTGATTTCCGGTGTACACATGGTACTGACAGGGGTTTGTTTTCACGTAAACACATATTATTGACAGGTGCTTGGATTCCGGTGTACACATGTTATTGACAGGGGCTTGATATCCGGTGTACACATGTTATTGACAGGGGCTTGTTTTCACGTATACACATATTATTGACAGGGGCTTGATTTCCGGTGTACACATGTTACTGAAAGGGGTTTGTTTTCAGGTATACACATATTATTGACAGGGGCTTGATTTTCGGTGTACACATGTTACTGACAGGGGTTTGTTTTCCGGTGTACGCATGTTATTGACAGGTGCTTGGATTCCGGTGTATACATATTATTGACAGGGGCTTGATTTCCGGTGTACACATGTTACTGAAAGGGGTTTGTTTTCAGGTATACACATATTATTGACAGGGGCTTGATTTTCGGTGTACACATGTTACTGACAGGGGTTTGTTTTCACGTATACACATATTATTGACAGGTGCTTGGATTCCTGTGTACACATGTTATTGACAGGGGCTTGATTTCCGGTGTACACATGTTACTGACAGGGGTTTGTTTTCACGTATACACATATTATTGACAGGGGCTTGATTTCCGATGTACACATGTTACTGACAGGGGTTTGTTTTCACGTTTACACATATTATTGACAGGGGCTTAATTTCCGGTGTACACATGTTACTGACAGGGGTTTGTTTTAATGTATACACATATTATTGACAGGGTCTTGCTTTCCGGTGTACACATGTTATTGACAGGGGCTTGTTTTCCGGTGTACATATGCTATTGATAGGGGGCTTGTTTTCCGGTGTACACATGTTATTGACAGGTGCTTGGATTCCGGTGTATACATGTTATTGACAGGGGCTTGATTTCCGGTGTACACATGTTACTGACAGGGGTTTGTTTTCACGTATACACATATTATTGACAGGTGCTTGGATTCCGGTGTACACATTTTATTGACACGGGCTTGTTTTCCGATGTAAACATGTTATTGACAGGGGTTTGATTTCCGGTGTACGCATTTTATTGACAGGGGCCTGTTTTCCGATGTACACTTGTTTTTGACAGGGGCTTGTTTTCCGGTGTACACATATTATTAACAGGTGCTTGATTTTCGGTGTATACATGTTATTGCCAGGGGCTTGATTTCCTGTGTATACATGGTATTGACAGGGGCTTGATTTCCGGTTTATACATGTTATTGACAGGGGCTTGATTTCGGGTGTATACATGTTATTGACAGGGGCTTGATTTCAGGTGTATACATGTTATTGACAGGGGCTTGTTTTTCCGGTGTACACATGTTATTGATAGGGGTTTGATTTCCGATGTACACATGTTATTGACAGGGGCTTGATTTCCGCTGTACACATGTTATTGACAGGGGCTTGATTTCCGCTGTATACATGTTATTGACAGGGGCTTGATTTTCGGTGTATACATGTTATTGACAGGGGCTTGTTTTTCCGGTGTACACATGTTATTGATAGGGGCCTGATTTCCGATGTACACATGTTATTGACAGGGGCTTGGTTTCTGTTGTACACATATTATTGACAGGGGCCTGTTTTCCGTTGTACACATATTATTGACAGTGGGCTTGTTTTTACGTATACACATGTTATTGACAGTGGGATAGTTTTCCGTTGTACACATGTTATTGACAGTGGGATAGTTTTCAGTTGTACACATGTTATTGACAGTTGCTTGTTTTCCGGTGTACACATGTTATTGACAGGAGGTTTGTTTTCACGTTTACACATATAATTGACACTGGCCTGTTTTCCGTTGTACATATATCATTGAGTAGGGGTCTCGTTTGACTTTATACACACGTTATTAACAGGAGCTTGTTTATCGGTGTACACATATAATTAACAGTGGGTAGAATATACATTGTAGATAAGGTTTTTTTCCCCAAATTTAGTCATATGGATGAACTTAATTGTCGATGCCCAAATATTACTTGTACTTACAGGGTTGTCTTTTCCTGGTTTCTGAAATAGCTGTATAGCTATCGGCATCAACTTCTGTTTTCCATTCAGGAAGAAAAGGGCTATTGGAGCGCATACCTGAAGAAAGTAATGGCGATGTAAAGGAACAAACAATCGACTATTAAAGAGCGTATATCTCATCTTGGGGTTTCATGTGAACGTCATGCATATAGTTTTCCTTTTTTTTTTCTTTTTTCTTTTCTTCAGTTAACGATAATTACATAAAAATCTTCATTCAACTAAGTAATATGTATCTCTTAGGAAACGACTTGCTCTGTAAATGATTCATTTCTGGTTTCAATATATATGTACATGGGATGGATATACTGAGAAGTACTCAGAAAAGCATTATTGTCAAACAAAAAGGAAAAATCATATTTCCGCTTTACCACTTTATCTTCTCTCCCGCAAGGAAGACCATCCAAGATTTCATAATCAACGAGGAACAAACGTTTGGCTTGTATAGCTGATGCTAAGGTTAATCCCTCTAAGCTTTGTTTTACCATATCGTCTGTAACGCCCATTCTGTAACATAAACCTTAACCTTACGCTTTTGTTATCTGACAAAAAGAAAGGAGGACCATGTCTACAATAAGAAAATGTAACGAATATGTAAAAGAGATTATATTTTAAAGGATTCCGTTATGGAGTAACCGTTAACTTGTTTTGAACTATCTTGTAAACATGTTGATAATTGTATCTGATCGAGTAACTTGGAGGCTTTTAAACGGAAGGAAAATCAATAAAACGTCTATAACGTGTGAACAGATATCTGTGTCTCACGTTGGTGAAATGAAGGTAAGGAAACCTTGTTCAGGTGAGTGTGTGTTTGGATCATACACTCAATATATTCATCAATGTAGTCTTACCTAGACAGGACCTATTTTGATATATTTCGATACAGTTTTTAAAATCAACAGATTTCAGTGTGTTAAAAAAGTACGGCAAAATTCATACTATTTTAAGTAAGAATGTGTATTAGCATGTGAAGAATAGCCGGAGTGTTTAGGGGAAATAGATATGAAATCTGCACAATATAGCTCTATTGTATCATTAAGTGTCATTCCGATAGCATTATCTATTAAGCTTAAACTTGCTAGAGTGGTTGCACCTTAGTGTAACGGAAGTAAAGTCGACCTCCACCGAAAACAAATTACGGCTAAAGGAAAAAATAGCGATAAGGAGACAGGCAATGTATTAACTATATAAATGAATATGGAACTGTGAAAAAAGATAGCATTATTAATTGGCTATAATGTACCAATATGTCTCATCCGCATGCTTAGGAATCTAGATATAATTTCAATCCGTTTGCAACTTAATTCATGGGATGGAATAAATAAATTCCATAGCGCTTTAAGACAGTATAGTTTTAGTGCATATCGATAGTGAAATGTATTACTCACTTTTTTGGGACGGCAGTACACAACTCTATAACGCAATTGTTTATCTTGGCTATTCTTTGGTTGCCAAAATATTCATCCTCTGTCCAATTCGCCACACTCTGACAACGGAAACAATTACATTTTTTCTCTGTGTTACACTGGTAGAAACAATCAGTGTAAAGCATACATTGGTCTTGTGAAATTCCTTCATACAACGTGTATTGTTTAAATATTAAGACTATATCGCCAAATATAATTAAACTTTTAATTTTTTGCTACTTTAGATACATACGTTTACAAATGAGAATATCCTAAACGTATAAAATCACTGGTATTGTCGCTGTTTATCAGCTTACATGTCGTCTGAGGTTTTATATAGAAGTGTTAACCAACCGCGGCTGACTTACATCCACCGTTGTATTTGGTAATCACAACACTTTGCAACGTCGTCTTCGATTGTGACGTGGTGAATAATGGCATTATTTTAAAAGGAACATTGAGTTTTCAAAGTTCAAATATTGACATTATTGGAAAGAAGGGTCCCGAACTCGTGATGGCGGGTTAACATATTTATATCTACCCCCTAACTATCAATATGTATTTTTCAAATTGTAACAGACTCTCGATAGAAATGTCTGAAACTATATACTTAAAAACATGACTGAAACTTGCACGTGAAAGCTACAACTCTGTACACCGCTGAAGGTTTGAGGAAGATAATAACCATGATCAATGTTTTTCTTCCATGTCCCGTGCTTACAGGACGGGGGGAAATCAATTTCGATGTGTTGCACTTGAAACAAAGCTGTTGACTTCAATAACGTATTTTACCCTGTTTTCGAGAACCTAGGCTTCTCTGATAAGTTCGTTGCCAGAATAAGATAGCTATATAGTGCATGTTGTGTCCATGTTGTGACATTTCAGTGAGCCGGTACTTTAAAGTGACAACAGAGTGGTACAATCATCCTGGAGTGTCGTCGTTATATGACTTCAGGTTTTGAAGAAATAAAACACAAAATTCCAAAGAAAGAAATATATAGCTCAATTGATGGTATAACATGCCGGTATCAACCATGTCTCGTTTGGTTAAGCCTAGGTCTCTGCCCTATTTTTGTGTTATTCATGTCTGTCTGCACCTCGCATAAACTGTTCTTTTTGTATAACTGTTAACATTTACTAAGTTAATCAATCAACGCTCAGAACATTTGTATAGGATCTGTATCGTGTTATTCTCCCCAACCTAAATGGCACGTTAATTACATTTTTTGTTGTTTCCATTTGTGTTGCAATAATACTGTGCCTAATGTAGCACACATATAGCCTGCAGTAAAGTAGGTGGGTTTATATAATATGCCTGTGGCTTGGCATACCGTGTTGATAAAATACATCTGTTTTCAAGTTGAAAGTTTTTATGTTATTTTCTCTCTGCTATGCTCAAAACCTAGTAAAATTTACAACATATGAACCACTGCATCGGGCAATACTTGAATACACTTTCTAGTTTGTTTTAATACTAAGACTAAGAGCAATCTAATTTACGTGGGAAAGGAGTTGTATATATACATGGGAATGGTTTGTCAATTATCGCGATGAAGGGTTTGTCAATTATCGCGATGAAGGGTTTGTCAATTATCGCGATTTGTCAATTATCGCGATGAAGGGTTTGTCAATTAATGTGGAGGAGGACAAACAATGAGGGTTTGACGACTTACGTCGGGAATAACAAACACTTCTTTGGTGTAAACGTTCTTCAGATCATCCAGGTCCCTCCAGTTATCACTGGTAAGCTTGATAATTTTGCTCGTAAGGATAGCCTGTGCCTTCCTCTTCCCGATATCCCACTGTTGGACAGGAGTATATGTGATATAACAGAACATGTCTTAATTGACGTCTTACGTTAACGACCTCCTGTAATTTCGGACAGGTTTCTGTTTGCCGGTGTACACAAATCGCCCAGGATGGTGTATGTATATACATCGATTACAAAGTAAAATGTAAGGGATAGTCTATTGTTTAGTCTATTGGAAACATTTTAAACATTGATACACCATATACATTGAAGCCTCTTCATCCAAACGAAAATCAACATATCATAATTCATTCAGGTTTGTATTGTATTTGATATGCTAAAATAAAACAATAAGTACAGCTATTGCAAACTAAATTCAGTGCATAATTTTCTAATGATCATTTGGATACGTTACGACATTTTCTGGAACAAAATACTAATAAATGCAATATTAAAAATAACACCCTTTTTCTTATCAGATATTTTCGACATAAGAATATAAAATCGACAAGGGTATCATTTATTTTACAACTACTAAATTAACTATTGTGTCAATATAGTATTATATATTATATTAGTTAACTGAGTATGTCATCTTACCATGTAATCGAAAGAAAACTGTTCATCTTCAGGCAGGTTCTTCACCTAAGGGCAATAAATGTAGTGTTGTTTAAGTTAAGCGATCGTGTAGTGTACCTTATGGTCAAAATGGGTTATGTAGGTAACAAGTAGTTATTGGATCATAATGACAGCAGAAAGCATAAGGCAGGCAAACGACTATGAGTATTCATAGAAAGAAAGCTTACTTCATATTCACCTCCATTTCAGCGCATACAGACGAATTGCTTGGCTTTTCCTTTCAGATGTGGATTTATTTCAAATGTTTGATTGGAATTAAATTTTACGAAAATAGAAAGTGTTATGAGACTGTCGGGTGGATAATCATTAATTTAACTTTCCAGAGGAGTGATCTGTGTCCCAATTTCCACTGTACTCGGTGTTCTATACCTGTGGAGGAAGCCCTGGTGCCTTTACCGTCAGCTCGTACTGTTTTCGTGCGTCCTTTAGCTCCATCTCCCTCTGCTCCTTGAAAGGGTCATCAGCCGGAAGTGACGTATCAAGATGGCGCACTTTGTAGTGGTAGTTGGGTTTGATCCATCTGAAAAATGGAAACACGAAGATCTGTTTGGAACAAACTACCTCAATTACGTCCACGTACCAGTCATCCAAGATGCCTCCCGTGTCTCGCCATAATTCTATATAGTTCACTTTGTTCAGCCTACATCCTGTCACGGTGAACGAATCTATTTGTCCCCGTTCGAAGTCGTTTCTGAAAAATTTATCCAAGTTGTATGTATCTGTTTTGTTTCCATCGTCACAATGAAGACAAATCTCTACGTTTGCGTCGGTGCCTGCGTTCTTCTTATCCCCTGTCTTCACGGAGATATCATATACGGCATTGGCAGACATTTTTGGTTCTCAATGGTCCTACCAAAAATTCTGAAGAGATAAAAACATACAAAACTTAATAAGAAAATTGAAAATGTGGAACATTTCTCCGAACGCTTTATTCAGAAAGGATTTTTTCTTGAGTACCTCTAATCTAAAATAAAAATCTGAAAGAGTTTTCTTTAAAATGTTCGTAGGCTTTGATCCAAAGAATTCCCATTAAAAACATTGCATGTTATCATAAGTTTACTGGGTGTAAACTAAAGTTTTTATTAAGGAAAAGATATCAGTAACAGCAATCACAAAACTAACTATGTTTACCTTCTTAAACACAGGTAAATATATACAGGGGGCGGAAGATCCAACGTCCGCATAATAGCAGGTTCTGTTGGGATGTATAATATAAGCAACCTTAAACCTATGTTTACACCTTTGGTCAGCTGACGACGGCCCACTTAGTTATACAAGTAAACCTTGTCTCAAAATTGATGATGATCACCCTTCCATTAATATGCTATTCTAACCAGATAATAGCGCAACGTATTTGATAAATCAACAAGTTCGAGATCATTTATTATATCAAGCTTTATAGCTCATAAATTGTGCATATGCATACAGTGCCACATGAAGTAAAAAAATAAGCAACAACCCATATACACACCCATCCTCGATATCCAGGGGTTACGCTCACTTTCGCTCTCTACACCCCTGGAATATGCATCAAAAGAATTTCGCGGTCACGTAACGGTAAAAAATGACAGGCTTTGAAGTCGGGCGTCTCTCTTTTTGTAATCTTCAAAGGGCAGGTATCAGCCTAGGGATCGGTCAGTTTTTTTCCCCTGAGACCAATCAAACAGCTATCTTCGTGCCTTTAATATTGCTATGAAATATGCCAGGGGTGTAGAGAGCGAATGTGAGCGTAACCCCTGGATATCGAGGATGATACATACCACTTCCGCACCTTTTACTAAAACATGTAGAGATATAGCTTACCCTGCTAAGGAGTTAGGCGCTAAGTAACATAATAACAGTTTATAATACGGATATCCTTATACATTACTGACAAACACTAAAATACAGTAAACCTAATTCAATACATTTTGCTGTCTTCTATAAACATTTCTAGCCAAATAGGCTATTGGTTTAAAAAAAGAAATATGGAAAACAACTTAAATTAACACATTTTTGTGTGTCTGATATAGTAAGGTTTGATAAAGACTTGTATTAGTATTTTTGTCGTTACATTTCGTGTTATTGTAATGATTATCAAAACAGTAAATAAAATGCTGTAATAGGATTTTAAAAAGAAATAAGATGAAATACACACAAAACTACATCGCTCACACTATATAGCCTGGCTTAGGGAAGCAGAAAAGGATCTTCTGACAAATTGAACACTGGTCTGAGAAAATTATTCTTTGTCTGGAGAAATAGCATATTTTTGTCTAATTCAGAAACAACCGAGTTCCTCCCCTTTCAAGTCCGGCTTAATCTGAGATGATGTTGCAGTTCAACTTATTCTTTATGATTTGGCGACTAATAATAATGTTGATCAGAAACACGTAGGGATTTTTAACAACCCTGTCTAACCACATAATTATATCTATGATAGAGCTTATGAAATAGTTAAGATACCTTTCAGCATAAAAGAATTAAAATCGACAGGATATTTTATATACTTATTAATACTCTGTTAATCCAGTGTAGAAAAAATGTCCACACTGGCGGATGCTACATTATGGAGTCGATTGAACTTGAAGCAGTACGTGTTATAACAGGCTGAAGCAGTACGTGTTATACCAGGCTGAAGCAGTACGTGTTATAACTGGTTGAAGCAGTACGTGTTATAACACGTACTGCTTCAACCAGTTATAACACGTACTGCTTCAGCCTGTTATGGCAGGTACTGCTTCAACCTGTTATAACACGAACTGCTTCAGCCTGTTATAACACGTCCTGCTTCAACCTGTTATAACACGTACTGCCTCAGCCTGTTATAACACGTACTGCTTCAAGTTCAATCGACTCCATAATGTAGCATCCGCCAGTGTGGAGTCGATTGAACTTGAAGCAGTACGTGTTATAACAGGATGAAGCAGAACGTGTTATAACAGGTTGAAGCAGTACGTGTTATGACATGTTGAAGCAGTACGTTTTATAACAGGCTGAAGCAGTACGTGGTATAACAGGTTGAAGCAGTACGTGTTATAACGGGCTGAAGCAGTACGTGTTATAACATGTTGAAGCAGTACGTGTTATAACAGGATGAAGCAGAACGTGTTATAACAGGTTGAAGCAGTACATGTTATAACAGGCTGAAGCAGTACGCGTTATAACAGGTTGAAGCAGTACGTGTTATAACACGTACTGCTTCAACCTATATTAACACGTACTGCTTCAACCTGTTATAACCCGTACTGCTTCAACCTGTTATAACAGGTTGAAGCAGTACGTGTTCTAACAGGTTGAAGCAGGACGTGTTATAACAGGCTGAAGCAGTTCGTGTTATAACAGGTTGAAGCAGTACGGGTTATAACAGGTTGAAGCAGTACGTGTTAATATAGGTTGAAGCAGTACGTGTTATAACATGTTGAAGCAGTACGTGTTATAACAGACTGAAGCAGTACGTGTTATAACAGGCTGAATCAGTACGTGTTATAACAGGTTGAAGTAGTACGTGTTATAACAGGTTGAAGCATTACGTGTTATAACAGGCTGAAGCAGAACGTGTTATAACAGGTTGAAGCAGTACGGGTTATAACAGGTTGAAGCAGTACGTGTTCTAACAGGTTGAAGCAGGACGTGTTATAACAGGCTGAAGCAGTACGTGTTATACCAGGTTGAAGCAGTACGTGTTATAACAGGTTGAAGCAGTACGTGTTATAACAGGTTTCAGGACGGAGAACAAGTCGTTATATTCAATATTTGGCCCATTATGCATTGATGCTTCAAATTTCGATCAATTTTTTTAAAGATTTGCTTTTAAAACGAAATAAATCCCAGTATTTAATGTGTATGAGTAAATCAAACCATACGATTTTAACAACATAGCAAATTATCATTTTCGTAACAGTATACTATTTGGTGTGCCAATATCAAGAATTTGACTGTAATACTAGTTTTTCCCCCGAAACTTATTTCAAATTTAAACATTAGTTTCTTATCTGTCTGTTGTTAACAATGCTATCCGATAATTAACTGATATGAATATTCATGGATATTGGTGGATGCTTGTCGGCTTGGCATCTGTCTAACTCATTCCGACACAGCAGAGTGTAATTGTATGGACGATTTGACAGAGTGTAATTGTATGGACGATTTGACAGAGCTGGTTAGAAGTACATGTGTGGCTGCCTATATTTGTTGCAACCCTCGTTTAGTAATATAGTTGCAACAACTGGTAGCCATTTTGTTCAAAAATAACATAAAAATGTCAGATGTTTTTATCTGTACGTTTGTCAGTGTTGACTATCAATATGATGAGTATGCTTAGCTTATCGTTAAAGGAGGGGGCTCCCATAAGCTTTGTCTGGAGCCCAAGTCCCGCTCTGTGTAAGAATAGACAATGAAATATTCTGAAATAGAAAACTTAATTACACAATTAATAAACAGTAAATAATGTGCTATAGAACTAACAACGATAACCTAAAAATACTTCTACGTCTGCATCAGTTTTTCATATAATTAGATTAGAACAATTCCCAAAACGTATACCAGAGAAAAGACATTGTGACCAGTTTAAGATATACATCACAAACAGATTCCAAATATATTTTAACGTCATGATCAACACATGAAACATCAATGTATTTAGATATTTAGATGAGATGGATCTAGAAATTAAAACTCATCTGAATAGATAGGTACTAAGGTACTGAATTATCAACGATTTTGATGTATGGCATTTTGAGATAACGACTTCCAATTATCTCTGGGGATTATCTGTAAAAAATGGATGATGCATTATGCATCTTAAACAGTAGATTTTTTTTCAATTGCAGACACGTTATAACAACAACCATTACGCCCACACCTTTGTATGATTATCTATAACAGAAATATTCTGGCATTTTGAAATTATACGACATTTAGACTCATCCGTTCTGACTAACACGAGATTGGTCTGATTATAGTAATTCTAACGATATATATTCTAAAACCAACATTTACTGTACTTATGAATGTTTGACTAGTTTTGTAATGTGTGTAAACGTGCAAACTATACATGTAACAGGACCTAAGATAAAGAGGGTTTTAAAACCTTAGCTTTATGCATTAGTGTATCTGTATGTAATGTCTCGGTAGGAATAATGTGTACTACTGATAACGTCGTTAAAGTCCAAACAGCGTCTCTTAATAAATGATCGATGAAGAACCATTGAAGATGTCCATGGGGTTTTCGTTAAAAACTTCCTTTTATAGTATCGAATGAAGCAGAATACGTGAACTATTTTTACGAATAAGTCTTGCAGTAGTTTACCACAAGATTCTACAACGGGAAACATCAAATATTAAATTGTATAGCTTTTCCAGTTGATTTTAAGTTACAATCTCTATACACTGTTTGATGGCACCCGAGTTCATGACCTCCGACTTCCATGACGCCATATTAAAGAACATTACTGAACATTTCAATATGTCTCATTCATTTGTGAAAAGTATCACTGCAGGTAATAAAAACGTTCTCGTTTGATTAAAAAACCCTATACTTAACTGATAACTTATACTTAACTGATAACTTATACTTAACTGACAACATATACTTAACTGATAACTTATACTTAACTGATAACTTATACTTAACTGATAACTTATAATTAACTGATAACATATACTTAACTGATAACTTATACTTAACTGATAACTTATAATAAAATGCTATGATTGTTGCACTGACAGAATCTTCTGCAGTGTAACTTCGTTAATGACTGGAAAAAATATATATCAGATGTACGGACTTGAACAAGTCTAAAGTAGATTAAACGCTGAATATTTGTGATGTTTAGGTCGAAAAGTCAACCATGACTGTACAGTTAATGAGTCTATCCACAGCAACTCTAGCGTAACACACATTAGAGTGGGTTATGAATATAATTAACATTACTGACAAGTCAATACGCCATGATGATGATCAAAGATATATATATTTATGGTGGCCCATTGTGGCCATACAGGTATCTTATTTTGTCAATTGGAAATTCAAAGTCACGCCAAACGGACAGACGGGAAAAGCTGTAATCCAGACAACACCGCAGGTCGAAACATTCTATGACAACATATAATCTAAGATAAAGCACCTGACAACTTAACATTTTCGTCAACACTTTAAGTTACTGCGATACTTAAAAAGACGTATGACATTCTTGGTTCATGTTGAAGGCGAAGTGTAATGCGTGTGGTGAGTGTAAGCGGTATTCTTACATATAGGTCAGTGTGTTATAAAACGAGAATATAATCGTCTATCGAATTATTAATAGAAATGATATGAAAAGTAATTAAAGTCAATTGTTCCAGTGCATGAACTATTAGAAGCCTTAAAAAAAATGGTATATGTCTTGTGTTATTGGTAAGGGATTCTCGTCAGAAAATGTTATATGCCCTCTGACCTTGTAATCATGTTTGATTTTCAATTACTGAAACGGGTCACATACATACATGTACATATCACACACAAAAATTGGAAACTTTAAGGGAAGTAACTCTCGTATTCAAACAGCAGACGTTGCTCCTATTCAGTAACACCAAAGGTTACTACCGGGAGATATAGCCACTATGAGCCGCCATAGAAACCCTCACATATTCACAAACACAGTAGAAAAAACCACTTACACAGTGAACACCCCAGGGCAGTTATATACACACTATTTAGTGAGGGGGCATATATCGATAAAGCTTTATACAAATTGCCATATGTAATTAATTAAAACAGCTAAAGTAATCACATGATATACAGTACATTAGGATCAATATCATAACTTATACAGCTACCTGCTTATATGCGTTGGTAGAAAAACATACTTTTTACACAAGTTTGCTAAAAGAAGAGGTTTAAGGCAAAGTTCAGGAATGACTCATTTTAGGATAGATAGTTCGATTTATATACGCCACTGTAGTAATATAATTGTCCCAGCTGTACTTTATGGTAAATAGTTTTTTCACCAGTGAATGAAATGTGTGGAATGTTTTAAGTGGTAAACGTTCATGTGATAGACTATTAAATTGACATTGTATTGCAGATAGACATTTTTCGCTCACAGAATACTTGAATGAAGTCTACTTGATAGCAAAGGCATTTCGTTATTTCAGGATTAACTTGAATATGTTTTTCATGTTATGGAGCTATAACACAAAAACACGGAGTGTACTCTCATCATGAACAGCTTCGCAGTTTATTTAGAATACACTCCGTTTTTTTGTGTTATAGCTCCATAACATTAAAAATATATTCAAGTTAATCCTTATACTTTAATCTACTATACACAATCCCTGTGGAAATACACTTTTATTGATGGACTCTTTTCTCTTAGAAATTATTGCGCGGCTGTATAAGCCAATACAAAGCGACGTTACAACGTTATGGGCTGATAACATAAATTTTTAAGCCAACGCAAATGCTTGTTACAAGCACGATTGAATTATAATAATGTAAATTAACACGTTGTTTATTTTCTTACCGACTAATCTATCAGTAAGTCTCCTTTATCGGTACAATAAAGCCAGTATTGACAGAGGATAGTGTCGTAGGTAATTCTAGGCAAAATATAAGTAAAAAAAATCCATAGGTGTCCAATATCGCTCGAATGGACTTATCAACCAAACACATTAATTATAGCTCACATACCCGTTGTATGATAAACAAGCAAATATGAATGGAGACCGTTACAAATAATCTTATATAGAGACTGTTAAATATAAGGTACATGCAATACAAAACTAAAGGGGGATAGGTCAGACAATACAATCACGTATTGTGTATTATAATATGTGACGACAAATATGTGACGACAAATAAAGAATATTTTTGCCAACGGAGCAACAAAAGATAGCCACACATATTAAAAGAATTGAGCAGTCAAAAAAAACAAATGAAAGGACACATAATGTGTGTTGTATATCTACGTACTTATAAAGGTAGTTTATTATAATAATTAATTTAAATACAAGGCTAGCTAGAAATAATAGAATAAGCTGTATTAGTATTTTGTACAATTATGCTTTACATCTATTTAGTATATGTATATAGATATGTTTGTCATCGTTATTTACCAACCATATGTGTATTAATTCAGTGGATCAGGCTGAAATTGAAACACTTTACGCTGTAGATGAGAAATACAAATCTTTCTTATAAACACATAAATACAAAACTTGTATCAATTACATTTCATCAGTTACAATAGTTTTACTATTATCCATACCTTTTATTCTGGCAGAATATGTGTTATTTATCGGACACAAGCAAAGGGAAGAGTTAAAACATACACCAAATTGTATTTAAAATGATGTTTCACAAAACATGATTTGGTATTATTGTCCATTAGTATCATTAATAAATTCAGAGACAGTTTCAGCATATTATAAAATTGTTATCCCGACCTTTACCAGACTAAGTAAGTAATTTGTTATGTTACCTGTGTTGGTCCTGTCCTGACAGCTGTAGGAGGCGTTTTAACCTTCAGTACTCACATAACCTGGAGTGATCACAAGGGGTACAGCCATACGTTATAGATTCTATTTTTACCGTTTTTATACCCAGGGATTCCATGCTCCGTTAACGTTGTTTGATCAGTGACGAATTGAATGGCAAACAGTCTTTGTGAACTATGTTGGTCTATTTTCGCAGCACAAGGGGAGTTGTAATAAAAAAAAACAGTAAAGAATATCTGTTGCTCCATCATTATGTTGTTAACATAAGTCTGAAACATTAGCCACGTTTATACCGAAACACTGGGGGCTGGTGATGTTAACAACATTGAATTAGCATTCGTTTAAACATCTCCATTAGTAAGTGTGCTCACCTCTCAAAACACAATACCCAAGAACACACAAGACATATTTGATTCAAAGGTATCACATCTCAGACCTGGGAATCGTGACCAAAAAAGCGAAGTTAATTTTAACTCTTTTAAACCTAGCACAAGTATTTCTAAATATAACATGCAGCCTTCAACAAAAGCACTAAGTTACCGTCATCCATCACTACGTCACGCAACAAGGTCACGAGATAAGTATCGCTGCCGTAACAGCAGTTTCTGGCATCACACAAAAAAATGCCGCTGTTATCGCCGAGCATAACTTTTGTCTCTCTCGGTTAAAAAGTTACTTCAAAACCTGTTTTATTTATGCATAATAAGATGGCGTCATACTGTCTGCTTCAAATAAACAGCTTGAAAAATCTCATTGAAGAGATGAAAGCGCTAAAGGCCAGTTGTTTATATATATATACCAGAGAAGAAATAAAATGGTGTAGCACCTGTTGAAATATCAAAACCTTGTGATAACGGTAACTGCTGAGATCAAAACAATCTCGGTTTAGATTACGGTTGTATATCTATTCACGCTTTGTTATAGCCACTATATATAAGACTAACAAATCCAATTGACATTGAAAGTCGTCGACTAATTGTTGACATCATCATTATTATGACGTTTAAGTTGTAACGTTGGATTCATATGGCCCTCCCTGAAAGATGGCTGTTTCATTTATTAAACACACGTTTAGGATATATTCACCTGTGAACTTAATGGTGCTTTTTTTCTAAATTGATTAAATATTTTAAGGAAATGAATGATTTTAAGATTGTAAATAAAAGTATTTATCTGCTTTCAGATGGTATTCAAAACGAGTGCTAAATGAAAGCAGGCCAATGCTTAAATGTAACGCATTTCCAGATAAAAACAACTAGATATTAAATTTCCATTTTATTTTTATTCTTATACGGCTGCTTTCATGGTGATTTTTTGGCCGACTGGTTGATGGCCTTGGGCAATCACAGGTTTATATTTTTGCTGTTTTGATGGAAAGGAAAAGACATCACAGTCATAAAACCCAGGTAAAGTCAACCAGATACAGCAACAAGTCTCTCCGTTAACAGACGGATCAACCAGATACAGCAACAAGTCTATCCGTTAACAGGCGGACCAGCCTGCCATATGACACTGCTGGGGTGAACGTATTGTTAATGTTCATGCACATATCTCATCATTTACTGTCTGGTTGCCTCCTTATGTTTGGTTATACAACAATGTATATGAAATGATTCTTCAATCTTAATATTTTACCTAGAGTTTTCACAGCATCATTTTATCACTTGACGTTTGGTCTTGTGACATTCACTCTACGTATTGTTTTATCATAAAATTATGTTGACAGATGTATTTACCTGCCTGTTACTGCTTTCGGTGTGAAGTTCCTATGTAATATTCATTTTCTCAATTGATGTAGTACAAAAGAAAGCGGCGTTATCATGACATATTCTTGCTATCACAAAGAAAGGGGCGTTATCATTTCATATTCTTGCTATTACAAAGAAAGGGGCGTTATCATGACATATTCTTGTTATCATAAAGAAAGGGACTTTATCATGACATATTCTTGCTATTACAAAGAAAGGGGCGTCATCATGACATATTCTTGCTGTCACAAAGAAAGGGGCATCATCATGACATATTCTTGCTGTCACAAAGAAAGGGCTTTATCATGACATAGTCTTGCTGTCACAAAGAAAGGGGCGTTATCATTTCATATTCTTGCTATCACAAAGAAAGGGACGTTATCATGACATATTCTTGCTAGCATAAAGAAATGGGCGTTATCATGACATATTCTTGCTATCACAAAGAAAGGGGCGTTATCATGTCATATTCTTGCTATCACAAAGAAAGGGGCGTTATCATGACATATTCTTGCTATCACAAAAAAAGGGGCGTTATCATGACATATTCTTGCTTTCACAAAGAAAGGGACGTTATCATGACATATTCTTGCTATCATAAAGAAAGGGGCGTTATCATGACATATTTTTGTTATAAGAAAGAAAGGGCCGGGCGTTATCGTGACATATTCTTCCTGTCACAAAGAAAGGGGTGTTATCATGACATATTCTTGCTGTCACAAAGAAAGGGGTGTTATCATGACATATTCTTCCTATCACAAAGAAAGGGGCGTTATCATGACATATTCTTGCTATCACAAAGAAAGGGGCGTTATCATGTCATATTCTTGCTATCACAAAGAAAGGGACGTTATCATGACATATTCTTGCTATCATAAAGAAAGGGGCGTTATCATGACATATTCTTGCTATCACAAAGAAAGGGGCGTTATCATGTCATATTCTTGCTATCACAAAGAAAGGGACGTTATCATGACATATTCTTGCTATCATAAAGAAAGGGGCGTTATCATGACATATTCTTGCTATCACAAAGAAAGGGGCGTTATCATGTCATATTCTTGCTATCACAAAGAAAGGGACGTTATCATGACATATTCTTGCTATCATAAAGAAAGGGGCGTTATCATGACATATTCTTGCTATCACAAAGAAAGGGGCGTTATCATGTCATATTCTTGCTATCACAAAGAAAGAGACGTTATCATGACATATTCTTCCTATCACAAAGAAAGGGGCGTTATCATGTCATATTCTTGCTATCAAAAAGAAAGGGACGTTATCATGACATATTCTTGCTAGCATAAAGAAATGGGCGTTATCATGACATATTCTTGCTATCACAAAGAAAAGGGCGTTATCATCTCATATTCTTGCTATCACAAAGAAAGGGGCGTTATCATGTCATATTCTTGCTATACCAAAGAAAGAGACGTTATCATGTCATATTCTTCCTATCACAAAGAAAGGGGGGTTATCATGACATATTCTTCCTATCACAAAGAAAGGGGCGTTATCATGACATGCTCTTGCTATCACAAAGAAAAGGGCGTTATCATGTCATATTCTTGCTGTCACAAAGAAAGGGACGTTATCATGACATATTCTTGCTAGCATAAAGAAATGGGCGTTATCATGACATATTCTTGCTATCATAAAGAATGGGGCGTTATCATGTCATATTCTTGCTATCACAAAGAAAGGGGCGTTATCATGACATATTTTTGTTATAAGAAAGAAAGGGCCGGGCGTCATCATGACATATTCTTGCTGTCATAAAGAAAGGGGCCTTATCATGACATATTCTTGATATCACAAAGAAAGGGGCGTTATCATGACATGTTATTGCTGTCACAAATCTGGAATGACGTTATAACGAATTAGTGCGTTATGAATACTTTTTTTCGTTATACTGACTTTTAAACTTATTATGAATTAATATACCTTCGCTTTGAAACGTTTTTCGTTTTGCTTTATTTGTATATAACCCTTTTTGATTATTAGAAGGCAATTATTTCTTTTCTGTTTGAAAGTTGGTCCCTCTATGTGTTTGTACTAGGATTTAAGAACGTGATATCTATTCCATTTATTCATCAATAATGTACAAGGCAACTAGTCGAGTTCTTCAAACGACAAGGACGTCAATACACTGGTAGTGTACGGGTCAAAGCAATTACTAAAAGCAGCCTCGTTCCATTCCAGTGAACAGAATTTGCTTGAGTGGAACCAGTTCGATTTCAAACCGTAGTAACAGTTCCGTGTCAGAATCATGGATCAATATGTTTGTACAGAGTTTAAATTCTTACTGGCAATTAGACACGGGTTGTTGGTGTTTGTTGTTAGGACTTCACCCCCTACTGGTTAGATGTATGTAGCACTATGAGTGTACACCATTGTACAGGGTCGACTGATATCAGTGCAGTTACTTTTACTAGGGAAATTATACTGTAAGCGAACATATTTTAGCGGCAATCGTATTTTAGCGTTAATAGCATTTAAACTATTCAGGTTCATTATGATTGCAATTATAAATGATTATTTCTATAAATGTTTTTGTTACATATATTGTAAGCGCGCCAATTCATCAATGCGCTTATCTGATTGAATTTCTATAATGCAGTAAAATATGAGTGGGCTAAAATTAGTTCGTTTACTCTACCTGTCTTTGTCTACCTAGGAAAAAAGACAGATTACACGGATTATTATTACATTAATATCACCATCATGTCGTCATAATAAATAAGGTTGCCATAGTCACGTCATCAATTTAGTCACATATTTCATATCCCCTTGATAATGACGCTTCGTGTATAGGATTCACCACTCCATCTTGACAAAGTGACAGAAAGACAATCAATCATTTCTGTGTTTGTAAACAGAACAAGTGCACGATCACAGTTTGGAAGTTTACCACTCTGCAAAGCTTCGAGCAATATTTCTGAAATTCAGCTCGGGTTGAGATTTCTAATTCTCGCCACACAGAACGTGATAGTTTCTGTAATACTTATTGATCGAGATGATATTGCACTGGGCGCTCAAGGATTTGTTCGATGTGTCGCAGACAGTTGGCGACCTACAGACATTCCTAGATTTGGTGGAAGAAAGGAAGCATGACAGGTACGACATGTGGTGACGGAAACACTTATAACTTAAACACAAGATACAACAGAAATAGCAGATGATTTACAAATATTTTGTGTTTCCTGCTCAAGATAATTTGGAATCCTTGTTCATAATACTTGAGTTCTGAATGCAAGTATTGTTTTAAAAAGAAAGTGCTCGAATTCAAAATAACGAAGCACCCATTACAATATTTGGAAATGTTTCTGAGTGTAGAAAGTCAAACAAAGTGAATGTTTTACTGCACCTTATGGTCACCATGACCATTGAGGATTCACCGGTGGTACTAAAGATCGAAATACGGCAAATTCCAAGTCTAAGCCGAATGTTCCAAACTACGGCAAACGTGGAAAGGTCCTGTACAATCCCAGATGGTAAACAAACGTGGAAAGGTCCTATACAATCCCAGATGGTACACATCAGGTGACAACAGATTCTTGCAAATTACAGTTTTGATCTTCATTTGAATTAATCAAAATGTTGGTATGTTTCATTAAATCTGTCCCAAGACCCAATGAAGTTTTATACTTCATAAACCTAACAAAATACGCTGTAATCTTGAAATGAATTAGGGTT